AGAATTATCAAAAAACCATTACAAATCTGCCATGATAACTAAATGTTGAAACCGACATTTAATATACAAGGCTCCAAAAATACACAACTGATGCCTTTCTGAACATCAAGGATGTAGTAGATATGAAACTTAGTCAAAGCATTGGTTGCATCACATGGTTATGGGCTTATGGCCATAAAATGTAACATCGGTCCTTGTACACTTACTGAAATTAAGCAACATTGAGCCTGGTCAGTACCGAGATGGGTGACCACTTGGGAATACCAGGTGCTGTAAACTTGGATGTGTGGGTGGTGTAATGGAAAATGGCTTGGAATTGGGAATTAGAGCTGAGTTCCAATTCAAGTTTAGTTTGTTATATCCACTTATACACTTTTGAAAAGGGATGAATCCACCTCCTCTCCCCTAGCTATGGCTTAACTAGCAGTAGAGCCCGGCGTTGCCCGGGGATGTAACAGTAAGAGATAGATCAAGTATCGACCATCATAAAAACTGAAAAATAAAATTGACAAAGATTATTGTTTAAGGTTGACGGACACGCATGTCTTAATTAGTTTTTTTTTTTTTTTTTTTTTTCTTTTTTACGAATTGGTCAAACCCAAACTCAAACAAAAACATTGTTTACAATCATTATGAGTCTATCAATTGGTGAATAGAATTTTATTATAAACAATTGTCTTGTAAATGGAATTTTTAAAGCATTCTGAATGTAAATAAAGAAAAAAGTGTGCAAGACAATAAGAAATACTACCTGCCAAAAAAAAAAAAAAGTGGATGTTTGTTTTATCAGCTGAAAATGTAAGAAATCTGATCCCATATATAAAGGAACACGCACACACACACAAACAACCTGGGTTTTTTTAACCTAAGTCACTCCATGGAATCGCTAAAACATAGAGCATAGTCTGATGAAAAAGACGCTAAAGTTTATGAAAACAAAATTTTATCGTCAAAATGTTTATCTTTTTATGAAGAGGATAGACTAAATTTTTATTTTAATTATTTTTAAAAAATTTTCCATCTTTTTAGAATATTCTAAATTTTGATTTAAAAAAAACCTAGTTTCTCTTTGTCGCAACAAGGGGTAGTAAATAACAGATAATTTTTAGTGCGTTTTTTTTGTATTTACACACATTCATTTGGAAAATCTTGCAAAAATAAAAATAATTGTCAGATGTTAATGAAACTTTCAGAAACTATTCACAGATGATCGAAATTATTATAAATATGTTTTTTTTTTATTAAAGTCATGGCAGAAATATTTTTTATATTTATTAACACCCCATAACTAATTTTATGAAAACTCTAGAAATTCGAGACCATCAGTTTTAGTGATTACAATAGTTAAAAGCACAAGGCTTTGAAGAATGCAAATCATGGTTTTTTTTTTTTTGGCCAACGTACCTGAAAATCAGCTGTGAATTGTAACATACAAAACTCAATAAAACAAATATATTATTTAGTTTCAAATGCTTTTATTTGTTTTAATTTGTTTTTATATGGACAATATTTTCTGAAGCAAAAATTTTTTCAATGAAAATTGAATTTTAATACAATTATTTCTTTAATTTAATTTTAAAAGATTTTAAAAAATGTTTAAATTGAATTAAAAAAAATATTTTAACATTAGTTAAATGCAACATCAACCTTTCAAAATGTCCGTGGAGATTGTCATTGTCTAGCGCTTTGAAAATTGTATAATTTGGACCAATCAGATTAGCTATGGTAATTAAGAAATGTAATTTTTGTGTTTATAGTCGGACAGTAATTATCAAAACGGAAGACCAACCAGAATACAATTTAGTTGCATTATTTGAGTTCAGCATTGTTCTCCACTGTTAAGCCCTTTACTTTTGCGAAACACGTATGGAGAAGTTAATTTGAGTTTTCAATTTCAACTGAGAAGGGTACCTACAAGTAACAGTATCATCTTATGAAATTTAACTACTGCTAAACTTTAATTTATATGATCTTATTTTTATATTAATCTCAGTTATGACATTTTTCCATAAATGAAATATCAAAATTAATAATAAAATGAATGGAAATACAAATAACACAGTAAAAATGTAATAAATGTACATAAAATTATAGTATTTTATGTAATATTTTCTGATAAAATTTCATAAGAAAGGTACCTAAAAATTAGATACCTTTTCTTATGAAATTTAATCTCACTATTAACAGTCTTATTTTTTTTAATTTCTTTATATTTTCCATAAAGCATCGTAAACGTAAAAAATGAAAGCTAAGTACAAAAAAAAAAAAAAAAAAAAAAAAAAATTAGAGCGCTGAAAGTTTTCCTTAAAAGTAACGAGGTAAATAATTTGTTCACTTAAATAATTTCACTTCCTTCCATCCGTAGAAAGAATAACCCTCCCGTAAGTTATCTAAACGTCATGAATGTGCCTTTCGTCAATCGTCAAGCGACGCGAAAGGTTATGACCTGTTTTGTTTTATTTTCAAATTACATTTTTTCGGCGCAGAAGCTAAGTTAAGCTTGGTTCAAAATATTTTAAATAAACCGTATAATATCTGTTTTTATTAAAATCAGTTTTGAAAAAATGATAATTGATTTTTAAAAAGAATATCAAAGTAAGATTTTAATCTTTTTTATCAAATCGAAAAAAATGATTAAAAATGATTATCTGTCCTTTTTTTTTTGAAAAAAAAAAAAAAATATTTTAACGAAAATTTCAGACATGCTAGGAACGATTAAAAATGTAAAAAAAAATACCCCAAAAATACTTTGATCTTCCTCTTTAATAATAATATGAACATTAGACGATAAAATTTTGTTTTCGTAAAGTTTGGCATCTTTTTCATCATGCTATGCTCTTTTGTTTACATTTTCGTGGGTGAGTTGTCCCCCTTTCATTCTCACGATGTGTCTTAATAGTGTTTTCAAATTGATTTTCTTAAAAAACAACTGTGTTTTTCCCATTTTCGGCGCTGTTAGAACCACCAAAAGGTAATTTTATGTAGTCCTGTGAAGTTTTGTTGAAATCGGCTAAAAAAATGTAGGAAATTCGATCCAACATATAAACGTTACAGACACATGTATATATATATATATATATAATATATATATATATATATAAGCTGGCAGCGTCTGTTTTATGCTTGATGCAATCCAGGCCACAAGTGCTGTTATTTTCTTGGCTATTTATATATGCTGGTGAGTGGTGTATTTTGGGTAGTCCATTTGTGGTTATTTTACTGGAAATCGTTTATTTATTTGGTTTAAATTATATTGCCTGTCATTATTTATTTTTATTTTGTTTTTATCATATTGATATTTTTTAATTGCATCTTTATCATTAATGAGTTTAATTAGAATTTGTTGGAAAAATGACATGGTCTTTTAGAGTTTCTTGTACTTTTCTTATTAATTCTTGGATTAATGAAATCATCTCAAAATATGTGACATTAATTGAGATCTAAAAGTATTATAAATCTTAAAGGAATAATCTTCAATCATAGTATCTTTTTTTTCCACACTGTTTAATCAATATAAATCGGCTGTAATGCGATTAATGGACAAGTGGGCTTTTCTACATTTTATAATCATGCTGTGTGCCTGGTACTTATTATACTGTTATTTTGCTGGTAAAAAGTTCTCTTTAATAATGAAGTGAAGCAAGAATTCATTGATTATCATAGGAAGATGAAAATTGAAACTGAAGTGCCAAAAAATTAAAGCTCCTAATAATGTGTAGCTTTTCTCTTTGCCTGAATAATAGTGGCTATGTGACATGGATTCTATGAGATGCATAAGTATATTTATTCAGGAACATTCCACAACTGTCTATAACTGAGCTGTATTTCTTGCATGTGACTATAGTAAAATCTACAACGCATCTCATACATGCTCAATGGGATTTAAGTTTGATTCATTGAGTCTTTCTGGAACCAGTTTCATATCACATGTACATGATTCCAAAGTTGCATTATATTGTTAGAATAAACCATTAAACAAGCATTAAAGCAATTATAAATTGTCTGCAACAAATTCTAGGGATGTTACGTTCATTTGATTGGTGATTACAATTTAACAGAACATGCAATCACTTTATGAGTTAGTAGTGATGGTCAAATGCAAAATATAAATAACAGAACTGTCCAACAAACAAAATTAACAAAGTTGGCAATAAAAAGAAAAAAAAGGATAAAAATGAAATAATATCAATGAAGCAAATAATATATGCAAAAGCAAATTCACAGGTTAAGAAGGCAAAAAATTTACAAAGTACAAGTTGGCATCTACTCCCAAAAGCAAGATCAGCCATGCGAATGCAATGGTTTGTCTTCTAGATAAGGCAGATCTGGACTGAGTCAAGTCAAATTGTAAAACAACCTGATTTATTGGCTTAGAAAAAATATCCCAGCATGTATTTGCAGACTTCAACCTATAAAAGGAGAGGGGGGAAAAGTTTTGCAGTCATTCCAGATATGATTGAAATACCTGTTTGATGGTAACTGGTTGGATCCATTGGTTCATACATTCCTCTCCACATTTTAATTCAATCATAGGTTTCAAAGAGCTGGAAACATGATTAATATGACCAAATACATGCTCCAATGGTCTTTGGCCTAAATGAGACACAGTAACTGGTACGGTGTGGTGTTAATGATGTTGGTAGACATCTGCAAAATATCATAGAATGCAGTGTGCAAGAACAATTCCAGTTATTGATTCATCCTGGATAAGTTAAAATTCCTATATCCTAAGTGGAATGGATATTTAAATTCATACTTTTTATCATTTGTGTCTTTAACTATCTCTGTACCAAAATGAGTTTTATGACAGAAGCTCTTTAACATTTGTGTAATTGAAAAATCTTTCTTATTTGTACAATAGCATCTTTATTGACTTGATTTGATATTGTTTGCTTTTAAAAGATTCAACTTTTGTTTGTTTTCCTCATATCTGTTAATTTAGTTTGTTGAGTGTATTTCTTGATACCTATTCTTTCACAATACTTTCTATTATTTTGCAGGTTTTTGTTATACAAATCAAATGCTTCCACGAGATTATCACGATTGGTTACATTGTCTATAAGTCTTATGACTTACCTTGGTTCCGAACCCTCAGTTGGTACTTCCTCTTCACATCAAACTTTTTCTTCTTTGGTGAGAGTGTGATTGAATATTTTGCAGTCCTGCTACACCGCAATGTAAGTACAAACTTTTTTGCCTTCACTTTTGCTTTTTTCTACTTACTTTCTTTCATTTAATCAGTTTCCTTTCAATTTAGATTAAAATTATTCCTGTTTTAATTCACAAGGAACAATACTTTATTATGGTTTCTATGCTCATTCTCTGTGAAAGCTTCCAAATCCTAACATGTGTAAGTACCTTATCCCACCAATGTAACTTTGTAGGTAGGACATGTGAAATTATTCAAGAGTTTGCAAAATGGTGATGATATGGGACCCAGGATTCACAGCCATGTAATTGAAACATTTACAGCTGCCTTGTAAATGGCGACCTTGTTCTTGCTGGTGAGATTCCTATTTAAGAAGACATTGTTTCAATTCTTACTGACTACTTAAAAAATACATGGTTTTCATAAATGATCAACTTTTGGAAGATTTTTTTATTATCATTTCTATTCATGGTATATTTTGTTATGGCTATTAAATTACGTTATTATTGTTTTAATATTGTAATTTAATTATTATTGTTCTAATAATGCAATTTAATAGTGAAAACAAAAAATCATCATCATTGTCACTGCCAATATTATTATCATCATTCTTATCTATTCTACAATATAAAACACAATATGACCTCATACAGTGGTTACTCTAAGTAATGCCTCCTGTTGGCAGAGTAAAACAATATTTTCAGTAAAGCAATAGCCCATATTTTATTCTAACTTGTTACAAATATACAGTCTGGCAAAATGGCTTCTGACACAAAAGCACACATGAAGAACAGGTATGCCATTGAATTTATTCATTTGAAAAAGAGTTACATCGATTGACATTCCATGATGCTTGATGTACATTTATGGAGATAAAACTGGATTTTGGCACAAGTAGTGGGTAATACATTTTAACAGTGGTGGGAGCAATGTACAATGTTTTGTACAACTGTTAACTCCTGAACTGAAGAGTGCATCAGTCATCTGCATGAATTGGCAGAGATTACATGCAAGTGAATGTCAGTTTCAATGTATTAGAAACAATATTGATAATATTAGGATATCGTAAAGATGGATGCAGATGGATCCCATGTATGATCACACAAGAACAGGGGAAAAAAAAGCACTAAATGAACCTGCTTGGACCATTGTGAATCTGAAGGAGATAGATTCCAGGATTGCATCATCACCAGTAATCAGTGTTAAAATAAAGTGATAGGCTATGGAGTGGTGACATACAAATTATCCATCAAAGAAAAAGTTTCAAGACACAACCAAATCTTTTGGGATAAGAAAAGTGTGATCTTCATGGTGCTTTCTATCCATTACACAGCCAGGTTTTATGATGTAAGTCAATGTTTTCACAAAAAAATTGGTATTAACAAATTGTAGTTGTTAAATTCTTTTCAGGATATACTAATGTTTATATGATCAATCTATTGAATATGAATAAGAAGCATTATATTTGTCATACAGCTTAATCTCTCCTTCTTAGTAATGAGATATGTTATTGTTAAGAGGAAGCTTTACTAGATGACAATGCCTTCCATTATCATAACAACAGATTATCTCATTAGTAAATGGCAGAGAATTTCTTTTAGTTTTTTCCTTTTTTGTCCAAAACTTTTATTCTGTCTTTTTATTACTTTTAGCTGACACTGTCCTTTTCTAAATTTAGAGACTATATCTGTAATTACATTTTATAAATGCATTATTATTATTGATAGTGTTTTTAATTGCTATCTAATTATGAAATTATCTTATGAATTAAAAAAAATTCTATAGGGTATTTCACTAGTTATAGATTTATTCTTATTTCAGAACATTGCATTTGTTCTCAATATAGAGAACTATCCCACTCTCTTTTTATCTCACTCTCTCTAGTATATATATATATATATATATATATATATATATGTCAGTTTAAAGGTCTGAAGCAACTTCCAGAATTAACATTGGATGAACATGACAGAAGAGTGAAAAAAAAAAGAAAAACTCTTAGAGTCATTAAAAAAAGAATGCAATCAATTATCAAACTTATACTTGAGAAAATTTGGCAACAAATGCCAAAAAGTTGTGCTGCAATAATCAAGGCTAAAAGGGGATATTTTGATGAGAGCAAAATTTAATCATAAAATGCTTTTTTTTCTTTCTGTCACATAAAAATTTCTAATAAAAAAATCATGTCTCACTTTTTACCTTTGTATAATAATTTTCTTTTATTTAAAGTACAAAACTACTTTTTGGGCCAATTTAAGAAATTACCAGGCATCATCTCAAACTTTTGAATGGTAGTGTGTGTGTGTGTGTGTATATATATATATATATATATATATATATATATATATATATATATATATATATGGGCTAATCTTGATATTTTTATTTAGCTACTATTGGCTTTCTTTAGAATACATTTGTTTCCAATATGACATTCCTATACTGTTTATCATCAAAAACATTGAAAATCTTTAAAACCTATAATGTTATTTCAATGACTAGCATCAGTGATAATAACATCTTTCAACAGCCAACCTTAACTCTGCCCCCCGACCTGCCAGGGCTGTGTTTAGCAAAGTCAAGTTGCAGCAACTTTTCAAAATAAAATTCATACGGCTATTCCCTAATATCCTGGGAAAATAATTCTTTTTCTGACAAAAATTTAAAATTGTTTTGTTTTAACCCTTTTCGTCCATACACCATGTTAAATATTGTTACATTTTTAGAAGATATTTATACTGTCTCCGGGATGCGTGTATTTCGTTGAAATGTACACAACCCTTAGACAGTTAGTTTAAACTCATCGACAATCAAGACTCTTGAGACATAGTATGTTTTAGAAAGGTACAGGTTTATTGACAGTCGACAAAGGTAAAACTGAAAGAAAATAAAACACGCTTTCTTTCAGAAATACAAAATGAAGGAATAATTACTAAGAGCTTAAGTAGTTGTAGGTACGATAAGCTTACAGAATAGAAGCATTTGAACGTGAAAAAATACTCATAGAGAAAAAAGAATACAAATTATGCTGAGTAACAGTCAAGTTCGAGAGGAAAGGTGGAGGTTCGCGACGTGGTGAGAAGGTAAACAAAGTTCGTTTAAGGAAGAAAATGATACTAAAAATAATGCTTGCATTAAATAATTCCATAAGGGGGAAGAAGAAAAGCGATAGTTCTTACCGGAGATGTCCAAGAATGACGAGATATTTAAAGGATGAAAACTATGCCAAGCGCGCCAAGCTGGGGGCATGCCATGTGGCCGGTTGGGGGCAGCAAAACTAGATAGAGGCTGAGCACCGAACCTTCAACCGTGTAGGGTCAGAAAGAAGCCCCCCAAGCCAAATATGATAAAGGGAGATGGGTGCTAGTAGGTCTGTTGTACACAGAACAGAACAATATTTTTTATACAAAATCAGTTCTTTTGTTATATTGATTGCTGCCATGTGTTGCTGAATTCACATGTCAAATAGGAAAGTAAAGTGTGAATTTGCAATTTATATGAACATTTTACTGGATTTTTTTTAATTAGGTCCTCTTATACTCCTGATCATATATCCACCTGTCAGTGCATATCAGTGTGATCTGTGTGTGTGTGTGTGTGTGTGTGTGTGTCTATAATGAAAGAACATTGCAGACTAAGCTCAATAAATATCTATAAGGAATCTACAGAAAGCATGTTTTATAGATAAACATTACAAGAATTAAGATTATGTTGAATACTTTATGTCTGACTGAATGGCTGAAATCACGAATTAATCATTATACATTAAACAATAAAAACCAAGATGAGAATATATGTTCAAATAGATTAATGTCTTATAATGTGTCACACTCGGTGTTTGGTATCATTTGTCATCTTAAAGCATTGTAATCAACTTAAAAGCAATCTTTGCAGCTTGCAATTGCCTTTGGACAAATATTTACCACCTTACTACACAAGAGGTATAATTAATTCATTTCATTCTTTGTCTAAATCAATATTTCTACAACTTGCTTAAATTATGGCAACTCAATGAGTATTGAAAAAGTCATGTTGCTTACCAGTTTAATTATGTAGGCTTGATTTTTTGTGGAGATTTTCCAAATACAAAAGAATTTAAACATGACATTATATTTCCAAAAGTAATCAAATTCTTTTGAAGGAATCACATTAAAATTAAATTGAAAAAAAACAAAATGAAACAAAAAAACATTAAAATGGAGCAGGGCGGGTAAGAAAAAAATCCAAACTCATAATTAGTCAAAAGAATAATGGCTTTGAAAATATAGGAAGTGAGACTTTTTTTTTTTTTTTTGGACATTTTATTGCAATACAATACTGTCATTTGACCTAAAATATCTTTCCCTCCATAGACACAAAGAATAATTAATAATGCCTAGATAACAATTGTCAATGGATCCATCTTCTTTTATTAAACAGTTTTTCTTGTTGTTTCTAATCACTTAAAAATATTTTGATGTTACAATTTGGAGGAATAAGTAGAATATAAAATCTGATTTACAAAAATGTTACAAAATATATGAGGCAATAAAAGAACAGTTCTTTTTGCTCCTTGATAAATTTAATCAGTGTAAATTGCTTATTTCTGTTACATGAGATATAAAAAGTAGTAATCATAATTTTTTAAAAGATTTTAAAATGTTTACTATGACTGCACTTAGCTTATTCAGCATTTATAAGCACAGCCCCTCCCACCTACCCCTCTATGTTCCTCTTCAGTGTTGCACTCTTCTGTAACCTAAAGTAGTTGTTCGACAAAATTTTTGCCCTGAGTTGGTTACCACAGTAGCACATCAGCAGCAAGTTGTTGTTCTTTATGGAGCCAACAGCATCCTACAAATCTTAATCTATGCTTCTGTATGGTTTCAGATATGGGTAGGATTTTGCTATAGAACTTTTTGTTTAGCAAATGTTGATACCATGAAATCTTAAGGGTGGCCTGGAGAATGTGTAAGCATCAAATCAGTGTTTTTTCCATTGATATCAGATTCCATGTGATTGATCCATAGACATGAATGGATTTGACAACACTTCTTATATCTTGTCAAGTTTAAGAGAACCCTAAGTTTTGCCTATTCTGAAGGTCATTTTTAGAATTTGGCAATATAGCTCCCTAGCTATTCAAAATCCTTAACAGATTTAATTTGTTCCTTGTTTAAAGAATGTAGGATGTTATTGGCCATATACTCTGTTTTAGAAACATTGATATAGAGGTTGATCTCACTGGCCATTGGTCTGACTTATGAAGGAGAATTCCTGATTCGTTAAGTTAATTAGTGATCATGGCTAAATCTTCTTTGGATACCTTTTACTTTTTTTTTCTGTGCCAGAATAAAACCCAGATGACTATTGACGACTATTTTTTTTTTCTGAGCACATAGTCAAGATGCATAATAAACAGATAAAGTGCATGTGTGTCATGCAGAAGAACATCAACCGTGATTTCAAAGAAGTTAATATCACTGCTAACTGATCACACTTGAACTTTTGTGTTCTTGTACATCATCATGATGGTATTCACAATCTCCATAGGTACTGTATATGCTCTTTTGTGAAGTCAATATAGAGGAGAAATACTGTGTGTTCTTTATTCTCACTTCTTTAATTCTTCTTAGCATCAGTATTTGGTCACTTTGGTATTTGGTTAGGAAATCAAATGAAAACTCTTATTTGTTATTGTCTGTCAAAGATTTGATGCTGAAATTCTTCTCTCTTTATTCAGATAATATTGGTGTCATGCTGACTGTATTTTGAAGAGCCTCCAGTTCACAACTGAAACTGTTAAACAAAAAAAATAATGAATTTTCAATGGTTACATCAGACAAATTTCTTGTTCATAAATCTAGAATTATATCCTCTTTAATAATTTAAGTAAGAGCAATAAATGGAACAGGTAATTTGGATTATGAGAATTGTTGCTATAAAATGAATCCTTTATCTTGGTTTGGACATGAAAGCATGCTTTCAGCTTTTATTAGAATAAAACTCAATATTTCTTTAATTTTCTGTTCTAATGTTTCATTTTTATTTGAGAAGATTAATGATGCACTAGAATGTTATGTGAGTGATAATGTTTTTGTGCGACTGATTGCTTTCCAAGCAACACTTTTTGGAACTGATCAAATCAAACAATGTTTTAAACATTTGCTGTGTCAATAAGAAATAACATTTGTGATAATGCAGTTAGCAGTGAAATGCTCTTCAGGGAATTGATATTGCCCATCTCTGTAATGATATTCATTAGTGAACTAAAACAAGGGCTTGCTGTAGTTGCCCCTGGGGACCATGAATAACTCATAAACCAAAGAGCTATTCATGTATAAAACATTTCCTACAAACTGTAGTTGCAAGAGGGTAGAAGGTGTCAAGGGTAGAAAAATAATAGGTGATGGTAAGTGAGATGAAGTGAACACAATTGTGATAATTTTTGCATTGTCCAACAAATATTGATTGCAATTGAAGCTGAGGTCATAATTGTCTTGAAGATGTTTCAGGTTTTGTCTTTGTTTGCATGGAGCTTTAGGCCAATTTTTCAAAATTAGAAGCTAAGTTATATATTTCATAGATTTTGATTTCTATTGGCCTATGGCTGTAAAATAAGGCATTAAATGCAAATATATATACTGAAATATACATATTTGCATACAAAATGGTACTGAAATGTACAAGGATGTGCTGAGAAGTTATCACTTTTTAAAATCTAATCAAATATCAATTTTGTTTTGAAAGGACTTTTTGGTCAGGACAAGTAAGAATGTGTGTGTAACACACACATACACAAAATAGGTAACTGAACCTTTCTTTATTATGATAGATTCCTATATCCTAATTGATATGGCACTCTTCGTTTAATAGTTGCTTTCATGACAGTAAAAGGGAATCCAGGTTTAATTCTTGTTTAGAGGTACATTTACTTTCATTGGGATTTCACAATCTCTAGGCAAGTTGATATTAATTTCACTGTTTAAAATAAAGAAGCCTACTCAAACACATGCACCCACTGAATATAATGTTTATAATAATATATATGGGTATGAAAACTTTGATTTATGAAATGAATCAGCATCATCAGAAAAATAATTTTATTTTAACAAAATCCGGATTGAACAAAATGTGATTGACTTTAAGCAGCTGAAGGTTTAATTTTTACTTCAACAGTATTGTTAAAGAAATTAGGATACAATTTATTTCAACTTGGTTTGAATTTTTATTTATTTAAGGTTTACATATCCCACATTATCTCATTGCTAATTTAGTAAGAACAAGCAATAAATTGAAATAACCTTGTGTGTGTGTGTATATATATATATATATATATATATATATATATATATATGTATATATGCATGCTGGGGTAATGGATTGCAGCTCGGATTGTGGAATCAGGAAGCTGAGCTCAAATTCCAGTTGAATTTGTTACATTCACTTATGTGCTAATGACCTTGGGAAAGGTATGAATCCATCTCTTCTCCGTCCCCAGTTATGGATAAATAGTAGAACCAACAGGATCCTATAGCCTTGAGTGGTAATCGGTCTAGGATGACAACTCTGAATTCAAAACCTGTGGAGGGTTGTTTGGAGACCTTGTGACATACTGTACACTAGTTCTCTGAAGCCAGCACTCCCAAAATGTGTCGTTCACCAATAAAATCAAATGATATATTTGGGTAGTGTGGCTTTTTGTTCTAAGAAAATTGCTGCTTGACCTTCATCTATCAAAAAACTACAGTTGAGTCCAGTTGTGTGTGTGTGTGTGTGTATATGTATATATTAATCATAGAGGACTTGCAGATCATGTAATTTTAAATGCATCTCTAGTAAATTATATACACACATGCATATACACTGATGAATAATAAAATTGCATCTTTTAAAATGTGTTTCAATTTATTCAAGATTACACACACATAATTTATTTGGATTACAGTAAATAATTGCAAATACAGAACAATAAGTGTACATGCTTTAAAATAATGGATTTATTGACAGTACTCAAACCCATACAATAATACATTGTATATACATCCAACTTGAAATCTTAAATCTTGCATGTATACAATCATACAGATGGTAAATATCAATCTGTAATACATTGTTCCATGCCTCTTGCACCTATTAACATACTATTGCATGAGTTGTAGGCGGGTTAAATGAATGAGTCAGGCATCATCCCATCATGTCTCATACATATTATATAGAGGACAGATCTGGCAATTTTGCCAGCCAGGAAAATAGTCAAATTTCTTGCAGAGCATGTTGAATAGCACAAGTATTATATAGGCAGGCATTATCCTACTGGAACAGCACATCATTTTCTTGTTGCAGAAATGGCAACAGAACAAGTTGAACAATTTTATGGACATATATGACACTGTTCAATGTTCTCTGTGCAAACATCAAAGGTGAGTGAGATTTTAACTTATGGTGCCAGAGGTTAGGCCTGTCATGTTGTAGGCAAATATCTTTTGGTTATTCTGCAGGTTCATACAACACATGCAAATGACTATAACTTGCATGAAGGTAGAAATTATTATCATCCTTAAACATTACAGTGTGCCATTTAATCCCCCAGGTGATCTTCTCATGATGCTATTGTAAATATTGTGGATGTCAGACTGTCAGTTCCACTATTGCCCTTATAATGAATTGTTCTTAGCCATGATTTTTATTATATAGCCATCCAGAACCTGGTTTACTGATGTTGTAATTTTCATGTGACTTGTTACCAACATGAAAGCAAAACTAACATTCAATATTTCTATGACATAATCATTCAACCTGTTGAAGGCCCAACTCCTTTCAAACAGTTTTAATTGAACAAAAGGATCACATGGCATGAGAGTTGCATGCACTTGCACCATATTGAATCTGATTACAGCATATGTCACTGTTTAAATCTCAGACACACAGTGTTTTAATGTGTGTTATCATGTTGCAAGATGGCTAAAGTCTTGCACATATTGTACCCAAGTAAAAATTTGTTTATTGTACTTCAGGGTATTACAATTATTTTTTCAGTCAGTATCTATATATGTATGTATACTTTCTTTACGTCTCTTTACTGTCTCCTCCTTCTCCTCTCTTATCTTTGGTTATGTCTTTTTTTTTAGAACTTTGTGAATAAAACAACAATTTAAAAATCTAAACCCCATTACCAAAAAGATCATCTGAACAATTGCTGTGAAAGTATTTATAGAAAAGGCATGGGGAGGCAATCAGTGGTGGGAAAGCAACTGAATCTGAGTTGCCAGAATAGGACCAATGATATTGCTGATTCTTCTTTGAATTTTATCAAGGAGCTCAAGGTAAATAGCAGGAACACTGGACATATGTGGCAACAATATTCAAAGGATGGCCAAATGATAGATTTATAAATATGTAAGATAGATTCTGGAGAGAAAAATTGTCTCACACAACACAGTAAACCAACTTTTTTAGCAGTTGATCTAACAATGGATTCAATATAATTTAAAAATAATTGTCTCTGTTGTAAATTTGATTATAAACAAAATTAAAATAATATTTCAGTTCATTCTAATTTTATTTTGATGTATTTTCCCTTTTTTCAGAATTTCCTGCGATTCTTTGTGACTTATCACAGATTCATCTCCTTTTCGATGTACGTCGCTGGCTTTGTGGCCTTCGTCTGCAGTTTGGTGAAGAAGCACTATCTGAAGCAATTTACATTGGTTAGTATTTCATTCTGATTATTTCTTTCTTTTTATTGCTTTTTCAGTTTTTGCTTTTCATGTCTCTTACTTCCTCTTTGTTTTTCCTTTTTTTTTCCTTTTCTATTTTCTCTTTACATTATTTTTCCTTTTTATATATTTCTTTTTGCCTTTATAAAAAATATAAATCTCAATCATTGCTTCTACTTTTTACATTTAGATCAACATATTCTCTAATCTTCATCAGGTGACATTTGATCTATTAAAAAAAAATTATATATCAGATGTACATATTTCAGTTTATATTTATTATCTAATGAAAGATAATTATATTTTAATTATCCATACTTCACACTGCATTAAATATATTGTTCTAAAAAAGTCATTTATATTTGAATCTTCTGACTGCTTGTGAATTATTTTAATAAATTGTTTTCTTATATAAAAAGGAGTTTTGTGCTATTTTGTGTTGGTGTCTTGCTGATAAATACATATAAATTAAGTGTTTCTTATAAATCTTGTTTTTTGGTAAAATGGTTGCAGAGCAAACTTTATCAACAAAATGACTAGCTTTTAATAAGAAATCTTTTTACTTTTTTCTAATACAAATTTTCTAAATTTTACAGTGTTATTTAATTTCCCCCAATAAAATGTTTTGCAGATTAATATGTCTTCATTATAAAATATCAAGAGTATTATTTTGAGGAAAGAAAAAAACTTATTTCACTTTCACCCAACACTTGTAATCAGTTTGCAATTCTACCATTCATGCTTACCAAAAATCATATTCATGGACATTTCCTTTAAGATAAAATTGACTAAATTCTGGCATTAATCTACTCAATCTTTTAAAGTAATTTTTCTGGAATAGGATAACTTTTGGAATCTGCAACTTCTCTTTAAATTGTTTTTGGAAGGAGCAGGTTAGGAGTCTCTAAAATATATCAAAGGATAATTTAAAAAAATTAGATATTCATTTGATACTTCATATGTAAATGAGATGTGAATGTAAATTACTTTGGAAGGTAATATATATATATATATATATATATATATATATATATATATATATACACACACACATCAATATTATGCTCAATAAGAAATAAAAAAGGCTTGTAAAATATTACAAAATAGAAAAACTGTGTTTTATTGGTTTCTTTTAAATGCCAGAAATATTTAGATAAGGATGTCTGGTTGTGGTATTTAGTATTATTGAAGGAACTTTCCTTGCATTAATCGAAAAACATTTTCCTAGAAATAGTAAACTCAGCCAAATTTTTAATAAAAATACCTTAAAAATAAGTTACAGTTGTACTGAGAACTTACAAAAGATTTTCAAGAAACATAATGCTAAAATCATAAATAAATACCTATATCAATGAAATATAGATCCTGAAATAAGAATAAACAAAATTAAAGAAAAATTATGTAATTACAATTACATGATATTTTTTATTTTTGTTTAATCCTGAAAATTGCCCTCTGAATAAAAAATGTTGTATAAAATCCATAGTTTATCATCTATTGAGACTGATAATGATGTTAAAGTCTATGTAGGATGCACAAAAAAAAGAATTTAAATTAAGATGGAACCAACACCAAAGTTCCTTCAATAATAAGAAATTAAATAAAAAAAAAAAAAATGCCAAATGTATTGCTATTGAAACCCAGATGATGTGTTGGAACATAAACACTAGCATAAATTTCTACTTGAAAAAAGGAAGTTTGTATCAATAGAAAGATACCCCCAGGCCCCACCTTGACTTGACTGACGTGATAGCTACAATACATTAGATACATGAGTTTTCTAAATAAGTTAAATCTTAACACCCTAAAATAAAAAAGATGGAATTTTCCTTTACCCCAACATCTGAATATATCAAATTTGTCTGGACTTATAAATTAAGTAAATCAGTTTCTAAAAAGTTAATCTTAGCATTGCTTGATAATGGAATGGAACTTTGTATTTTAAGTTTAATTTTTATGATGGAATTTGAATTGCAGTTTCAGTTTTGAAACATGGGAATTCCAGTGTTACAATGATTATATATTTAAAAAAAACAACAAAACAATTATAATATTATGCTCTACGATTGTATCGAACACTGTTTTTTAAAAATAAAAATAAATGCTAAGAACTATGAATTAAAAATCTCATTGTTCTTTTCCTATTATATATATATATATATATATATATATATATATATATATATATATATATATATATTCTTCATTTACCAAAGGAAATAGTGAAAAGACATATTTGAAAGGAAAGTTTATAAATTGGAATGGTGGAAAGTTTATAAATTGGAACTAGGAGATGGTTAATTATTAACTGCATTGTTTTCAAATGGAATACTTGCCAATCAATACTTGATTTCACTCTTTAACTGAATCAATGATTAATACCATAAAATTAAGATCTACAGTTCAGTTTTCATTTAACTCTTTTTTAACGGTCATGTCCCTTCAGAATGTAAGCAATTATGGCTCTTCAGAGATTACTTTTCTTTATCTGTAGATTGCCATGACATTGTAGGGAAAGAATTACTGTTGCCTTCTTCACATTTTTGAATTCATACTTGTCCTTCACTTATATTGGCTGCTAGTCAAGGCTAGAGAGCCTAGTCCATCTTGGTATTTAATTCATAGCTGGGGGTTAAATAGTAAAGTAGATTTGATTACTGGATTGATAAAATTTCCTATTATAATTTGTCTCAGAAGATTTTAGTTTTAATTTGAAAACAAAGGTATGAAGACTTCATAAAAATTCAACAACAGCAGATTCCAGCAACAAAAAATGACCAAAACAAAATCTTGTGTCATTTCAGGATGAATAATCTTCTTAGATTTAATTTATAAAACTGATATTAGAACAAATAAATTTTATTTTAAATGGAATCATGAATATTTTAAGGAATGACTGTTTTATTTAATAAAGAGTTATTGAATTGCACTTTCTTAAGAAATTAAATATAAAAAATATGCATATGTAATTTTCTTGATTTGAATATTCATAATGAGAATTTTCTTTCCTCTTCTCTTTGGTTGATTGTCTTTTCTGATAATTCTCTTTTGTAATTGATCAGATGTTGCTTTTGGGTATCATTTAACTTGTTTAACCTACAGAAACTTTCATGTGTTCTCCATGAGAAGAAGGCAAAAAGAAGTAAACAGAACTAATGAAAAATATGCATCTCTTTAATTGCACTCAGAGTATTAGACTGTAGGACACAAAATACTTTGATCTTTATGTCAAAATAAAAGGTAGTGTTTCATATTGATTTCTAAAATTCATTTCAGTTAGTATAAATAATAGCGGATAGCTTTTTTTTATTGGAGTGTTAGGTGTTAAACGCATTGTTTTATTAAACTAATGATCACAATGGATCTGCTTTGTTTTCAAATATTTTGATTTTAACAAAGAAAAAAGATGCCATTTAATCTAAGTATAATCATCTTTCTTGAATTTCAATTATAAATGAATTGCTAGAAAAAAAAAATTTGATTTCTAAATTTATAAGAGCCACTTAATGTAAATATCTACAACTTTCACAGATACTAATCAAGAACAAAGATCACTTTGCACCTAAGATGTATAGGCAGTTGTTGCAGCGTTACACCAAGCTATCTCACATATAAGATTCATAAAGATGGTATTCCGCTCAGGCCGATTGTTACTTGCCATACTCTGATTAGTTTCCTTGTAGATATAATTGACCCATTGATCAGAAAGTCACCTTCATATGCCCGAAACTCCACCCACTTCGTGGAAATAATCAAAGATGCCCCCATCCTATCCAACCAGATGGTGAGCTTGGACGTGGTGTTTGTTCACCAAGGTTCCCACAGAGGCACTCTCAGTAGTCAGAGACAGATTGGCCACTGACTCATCCCTAGGAGAATGAACCAGTATTCCAATAGATAATCTGATGGAGATGTTAACTTCCACAAACAACACACTTTGGAATGGGATCACACATATACCAACATGATGAAGGCTTAGCAACCATTATCACCAGCAATGGTGAATATATACATGGAGTACTTTAAGGAAATGGCATTAGAGTCTATATCTCTAAGGTCAACTTTATGGTTAAGATAGGTAGATGACACCTTCACACTCTGGCCACTCCAAGATGATGTCCAGGTTCTACTGAACCATGTGAACTCAATAAGACCTTCAATACAGTTAATGATGGAGAAAGAGAGTAACAATACACTCCCATTCCTGGATGTTCTAATATCTTGAACAGAGCATGGGTTCAAGACATCTGTATACCACAAACCAACATTCACTAGACAGTACCTCAATTTCAACTCCTACCATCCATACAGCGAGAAGAAAGAGAGTGTCCACTGCTTACAATACCGAGCAAAAGTCATAAGTGGCGACCCAGAGACATTAGATAAAGAATTGGTCAGTATAAGCAGTACCCTACAATGTAACAACTATCCTGGGTACATGGTAGCAGCCCCAATAAACTGGTATAGGCAGGTACAAGAGGAGGACAACAACACTCAGAAAATGGTCTGCCTCCCTTATGTGAAGGGGTTATCGGAGAAAATACAAAGGATCTGTGGTTCATATGACATCAGGGCAACCTTCAAAAGCTGGACAACACTTTGCAGATATCTCTCCAGAGTAAGACCCCCCCCCTTAGAGGAAAACATAACTAAAGACTGTGTGTACACTATCCCATGCAGCTGTGGAAAGAAATATAAAGGGGAGGCAGGCCACCCCCTTAAGGTAAGGCTTCAAGAACACCAAAAAGCTGCAACATGAGGAGAAGTGGGAAAATCAGGCGTGGCTGACCACATATGGAGACAAAAGGGAGATCACCGCCCTCTGTAGGATCAGGTTTAAATCATAGACAAAGAAAATTATTGAAAAATTCATAAACTTAAGGAATCAGCACATATGCTAGGCCACAAAAACCTCCTGAGCTGACCAAGCAAAGAGTGTGAGTTCAATACCTGGTTAAGGTGGTGGAGAACTTGGAGAGGGGAATTAACAGGAGATAATTGATAACTTACATCCATTAGACATGGCACGTGGAACTAGAACAGTCTACCCCAGCAAGTGAAATATAGGGTTCAGCTTGACATTCCAACCACCTGAAGAAGTCTGGAGTGTACAATGGCTGAAACGTGATAAATATAGCAACAAAGATGTGGACGATAGTCCGAGCAGTGTTAATAGTGAACTTTTGTTTTTATTTGAAATTAATGTTTGTTTAGAGATTTGTTATTTTTTTATGATAAATAATCAGAGTGAGATAGAAAAGTCACTATTTTGATGTTGATGAAATTCAGAATTTGTTTTATGATGAAAGTTTCATTTTTGTGAATGAATTAAAAATTTTTTTTGTCAATTGATGTGCAGGTAGCTATCAGCATGGGAATTGGAATTTGTGAATTGTGTTCAAATTTTGATCTAGTCTCTGGCACTTTGGAAAAGGCATGAATCCATAACTTCTCCATCCTCCTAGAGCCTTGGGAGGCAACCATTTTACGAGAAGGAAAACTCTGAATAAAGCAAGGGAAACCACTCTGGCATCTTTCCCAATAAGACATGGCTATTTCCAAATAATAAATAAAAAGAATCCAAGAATTAGGATCATTTACATCCTGAAGAGATATTCACTTTTTGTAGGGAAAAAAATCTCCAACTTAAAAAAATTGTTAAATAATTGTTCTGGAATCAATAGGATGTATGGCCAATTCTTGGAGAAAATATTTACACACATGTGCAAGTGTAGCTGGTAATAGTGAGATTAACTGTCCCTTTATAAGGAAACATTTAGCATTTATTGACTGAAGAGTTACCATTACTATCAGTTGAAATTTATAAAATCTTTCCCTTAAAACAATTCTTCAGGAAAAAGGTTTCTTGAGAAATTCCCTGTAATTGTTCTTTTTATTATTCATAGATGTTTCCTTCCTAACCATTTGTTTGAAATTATGTGGAAAGTCAAAATTTTCATTATGTCATTATTTACTTTTTGAGTTACATCTTCTATCCATTTTAGTTGTTGCTACTGTTGAATGTCTTCAAGTGCTGTGATTTCTATTATTTGATAAAGTTCTTTGTTTTTGATTCTGTAACTCCAACCTATGAGATCCAATAAAGGACCATTCTCTTCATTGTACAATAGGGTACATTCACCTGAATTAATTTTTAGTGATTGATATGAAAAAACGTTTGTATATGATTGATATATATATATATATATATATAGTGAAATAGAGAGTTGTGATTCTGTAGCTCCAATCTATGAGGTCCAATGAAGGACAGTCCTCTTCATGACCCACTTCTTTCACTTAAATTCATTTTTAATCATTGATACAAAAAAAAAATAATAACATTTGTATATAAATGATAGTTTCGACAATTCTGAATGAGTTGGACACCATATATGACATTCATATAATAGTCTTGATCTGATGTGGCTATTTGACAATGAGTTCTTAATTTAATGCTTTTGCTTTGTAGCGGGTTTTGGTTTTAAACAAATCTATTCCTTTCCTTAACCCCTATGCTAAATTGTTTATACACTGATCCATACACTGAATTATTGGAAGTCTTTAGTATGTATTCATTCCACATTCTGGATTTTTATGATGGATTTAGGGTACATGCCATCATTGATTTCATTTCAATTTCAGATCATAGTTTCTATTAAGTTTTAAGTTCTACTTCTTGGAATACTCTGTAAAGAATGTTGAGTTTTTATTTTGTTCATGATCATTCTCATTCCATCTATAAATGTTGGTTCTAATTATATACACAGACATTTACTGATATTTATGTATATTGTTTTTTATTTTTAGTTTGGCTGGACCCATGTGACCCTGTTGATTATCGTGACCCAGTCTCACCTGATTGTGCAGAATGTATTTGAAGGCCTTATCTGGTAGGTAGTGTGTAGCTGCTAAACACTTTAGACCTAAAATGCAAAAATAACTTCAAATATAAGGTTTAATGAATAACAATCAGGAGTGTGATGTAGGCCTTCTCCAAACAGATTATGAGACTGACTCTGTAAAAAAAATTCCCTTAATTTTATTTTTCAAACTTATTTCATGCTGCATTCTAAAACGTGGTATTTATTATTTTGCAGTTTTCAAAAAATCGTTTCACCTCAAGCAAGGTGATACAACCTCTAAGACATGAGGTTATTGAGTGCAAAATATCTGAGAAAAAACATTAAGCAGAGAGAAAATGATGCATTTAAATTTTGAAGATCAAAGTTGACTGGAAGCAAGAATTTGGAAGAGATTTCCACAAGTGAGATGTGTGAAAGAAAAAACTGTTAGCATAGAACATATGTCAATTTCAACTGTAAAGTTAACAACAGGAATGTCATTTTTTAGATCAGCTACCAATTTGATCATCAAGAACTTATTGAGACAGGAATAAATAGTTGTCTTGGAGATATCCAAAGAACACTCTGAACTTCACTCTTCTTATCTAAAGCTTGATAGACTCTTTCAGCAATAATTGTTAATATATCAACAGTTGACCTAGCCATATTGTCTGTCTGAAAGAAAGCCCTGTGAGGTAAGCTGATTAACCAATTCAGAGTTAATCTAGTAATTTGCTAAAAAGAGGTAGAATAGGCTAATAGAAGGTTCAGACAGTTTGCTAGAGTTTTTAACGACTAGAACTATAGAAGAGGATTTCCAACAAGCAGGAGAGTAAGAAGCAGCAAGGCATTTATTGTAGAGAGAACAGGAGCCCATTTCTTAAGAACTATTGCAGAGAGGCCATCAAGTCCACATGTTTTGTGGGAATCCAGTTTAAATATAACAGAAACCGTGGACAGAGTTATATGCATATCAATCAGAATAGAGACTCAGTTCTAAGAGAAAAGTCAGGCAAAGATATTCCTGATGAGTCAGAATTAGAATTGGAAGAGAATTTACAAGTAAAGAATTCTGTTTTATCAGCAGAAAATAACACCTGAAATTGAGTGAAGAGAGGAGGAATGAAGACTTACTCTTATTTAACATACTATTACAGGGCCACCAGTAGTCACAAGAACTTAAGTTGTTAGAGGCTATACTATGCCTCATTCTGTCAGTGAACAATTACACTGCCTCACTGGGATTATGTTTACAATTATTACAAGATCAAAACTATCAAATTGGTATAGCTAGAAAAAGTGATTTCTTCAGGCAATGTATGTTGTTAATGAGGAAAGTTTTGAATATAAGTAATTATTTTGGGATAGATAACATCTTGTAAGACAATTTTGCTACAAACTGACTTTCTTCTATATACGGACATAATATCTAAATTAGTGAAAAGATTTGGCAGCAAATTTCATTTCTTGGGAAAAATAATTATTTATTGATATCTATTCAAAAGTTTAAATGTGTGACTCAGGAATTTTCTTAATTTCTGTAATATTTTGAATGTGAAGAATTAATACTGTTTTCAAGTACAGTACATTAAGACAACTATGGATTTATACTCTCTGGCTTAGACATTCTAGGGACCCAATAATATGGTTTTTCAATCAACTGCATAGAGGTTGAAGTTAAAGTTGGTAAGTAGAATTTATTGTCAAACAAATGAATAAAATGATGCTGAGCAAGAGACTAAAGGTCGTTAGGTACTCTCATTGAGCACTATATTGAACGACTTGTAAACAAATTCTATAATTACTTGTTAGGGTAATGGATTTTTGCAAGGAGGGTGGTCATCAAACAATCTATTTTGTGTGTGTGTACTAGATTTCCCTGAATTATACAAATAGTTGAAGTGATTTTTGTGTAGAAATCAACGTTTGCCCTTCTGATAAATGTTTATATGTTTCCAGGAAATGTGACAAGTGATTATATTGATTTTTCAGGTTGATGGTTCCTGTTTCAATGATTATCTGCAATGACATCATGGCCTATATGTTTGGCTTCTTCTTTGGAAAGACTCCTCTCATCAAGCTGTCCCCTAAGAAAACTTGGGAAGGATTCATTGGAGGAGCATTTTCAACTGTTATTTTTGGCATCATGGTTAGTATACTTTTTTTTTTTTTAAATAATTGAATCTCTTTGCTGTGTCTATCAACAATGGAAATAGCAGAATAAAATTAAAAGTGAAAAAATGGTACCAAACAAAGAGAAATTTTCAAGAATCCATTTAAGCAAGAATGCTTTTAATATATCAGTTTTTATTTTTTCCCTTCTGTATGCAACTTGTTCCAGTAACTAACATGTTCTTAGATCTTTTCTTTACTAAATTGCCAAGAGAAAAATCAAGGTGTTGAAAGCTGTACTCACTTGACTAATATACCTGGCATGTGTCTGTGTATGTTCCCCCTCCTTCCACACTCTCCACTAATGCTTCCTGTATGGATCTGAGTGGGTAATGAGTGGGTTCCAGCCTTACCAGATTTTTCCACCTTTGTCTATGACACACTTATTTCCCTCAAGGCAACAGCTGGTTTCACCTTAAATAAAAATACAGTGGATGTTATAAGCACAATCTTTTATCAGATGTTTCTCTCATGAGGAGAGGGAAAAGACTAATTCTATTACTGGATAACATTTTGATGTTGGATCTACTCTGTCACATCTCTAGAAAAAATAGTTTAGAATGTTAATGACTCTTCTCAAAGGAAAATAATAGCTCTTTTATAAGGGTCATTTTATATATTAAATCTTGAACTTTTGTAAACTCTTTTGGCATTCTTTAGAATAAAATGAGACACCTTTACTTGTCCAGAATGGCTTGGAACCCTGCAAGAAGAAAGTATTTGAATTTTTGAGGTCTTAACATCCCATAATTTTTCTTTAATCATGAATATCAAATAAGATTGTGTTTTTCAAAATCAGAAAAGGAATTTTATATATTTTTATACAAATTTACTTTTAAGAAATTACAAAAAATATCTAGTGGTAGGGTTTGAAAAGTAAAATTGTTTTTGTTGAAAATTCATCTTTGCAATAGGTTTATTTATTGATGCCCACAATGAATTCTATTCTTTCTTGCAGCTCTCCTATCTCCTGTTGCAATGGGACTATTTTGTATGCCCAATCACTTTCGATACTTCCTCCAATAGATTGTCTATGGAATGTGAGCGACATCCAGTCTTTAAAGTTGCAGAGTACTCTCTGCCAGAAACTCTTGATGGACTCTTTACTTTGGTATGTTGTTTTCGGAAAAAAACATTGGTATGATTATTCAGATTTTATTTTTCTATGAAGAATGTTGAAAATTTTTTTTACCCAAACCACTTCCAGAAAACTGACTAAATGACCAAACATCAGGTCAAATTAGAGATTTTCAGCATTTTACAGAAATGGTTTGACCAACTTTCAGAAATGTTTCTGTAAAACAATCACATCTATAATAGAAGAAGTATTTTCAGGGCAGAGATTGGAACCTGAGGAACAAATAAAAATGTTTTTATAAGGATACATTTAAGAAGGTAGATAAGAATATTGAAAAAAATGTCCTCATAAGTAATACTATTCAATATATAAGTCATCTAATATCTATGTATTTATTCTTTAAGTTTATCATAAAAATATACATAGATTAATATTGTAATGATGGTCTCCTGGTTTATATATAAGAAAAATATCTTAATGTTATTTTCAGGTAAAAACAGAATGGCGGATAGTAAATATTTCCTGTGAGATATTTTGAAACTAAATAGATAAATAACATTTCTAATTTGCTTGTCAGGTGTTTTTCTATTGATTTATTCCTTTCTAATGACTACAAGTTTGTTGGGAATATAATAGTTTTGTTTGCTTTTATGTATCAACAATTGGAATTAAACTTATATATCCAGGTCCCTGTGTTAATAAAAACAAAAGTAATTGCTTCTTAATAAAAGCAGACTTAAAGAGATATTTTGTAGATATTTGTTAGTAACATGTATAGTAAATGTTCATAATCAATTCTGTTATAGTGTAATTGTTTTTCATTCTATCCAAATCAATGATTTTTAGAATTGTAAATGAAGGTTTCAGTAGAAGTTTTAAATACTCTATTATTATAGTAATTTTAACTACCCTCCTGTGACCACCAACGTATAAGGAAAAAATGAAATTGCAGTTGCCACTACCTGAAATGAAATATCTATGAGGCAAGGTGAAACAATATGTCCAAAGGGAAGGGGAATGCAATTCAATCTTTTCTTCTTGGGTTCCCAAAAGTTGCTAAGGATCTATAAAGAGGAGCTGAAGCTTTTTAAATTGCCTGAAGTTGCAGCCTTAATTTGGTATTGTAAAAGTTTCTTAGATTAAATACAAGCAAGATCGCTAAATATCACCATCTACTAGTTGTAATCCAAAATAAAGGGACCCCCCCCAAAAAAAAATAATGATGGCAACCTAAATACTGCCATGTCAACAGATCTTAGACAAAGTCATGTATAACCAGTGTATCCCAAATCAGGATAAACAATGTCAATTCAAATTTTGTCACACCAAGTGAAACTCAGGTAGAAAATCAACCAAAAAGATTTTCTCTCTCTCTCTCTCTCTCTCTCTCTCTCAAATCTGAAGTGTTGGACCAAGTTGGAGCAAGTCAAACCAAAGAAAATATGGGTAGAAATACTCTTGCTACCTTTGATAGTCATTTCTGACTATATGTAATGAAAACCACATTTATGCAAATATGATTGTTTCTATAAATACAAGGACAACCAAGGAAAATGAACATGGCACTAACACTCCAGCTCAAAACCAAATTAAATGATCCTAAATTTAGAATAATTTTTGCATTATTTCATTAGATGAACAGTCAATTTTAAATGGCCATCCTTACCCAGCTTATTTTGTAGAAAAATTCACTTTTGCAAGCATAAAGACCATCCTCTTGCATAATAATGTGCTTTGTATTTATAAAAATGCTTATATTGTGTCTTAGGAAACTTATTCTAAATTATTTCTCTGGTTTTATTTGTAGCTGAAGATTCCATATAGAAAATTCCACATCTATCCATTTGTGTTGCACAGTATTTCCATGTCTCTCTTTGCTTCTGTCATTGGACCTTTTGGAGGATTTTTTGCCAGTGGCTTTAAACGTGCATTCAAAATCAAGGTAAGTCATCAATTGGCTGCTAATATTCAGGCCAAAATCTTCTAGTTTTTATATTATTTCATGGATTTTCTTAAGCATTCAACTTGTTAGTTTTAGAAATCTTTTTGATATGATTGAAAATTTTAAGAAATCCAGAGAATCAATATTGCTAATTTTGGTCTGCACTAACAAATTTCTGAAACATTCTTGCTTTTTTTTATTTATAGCTCTGAAAGAAAAAATCCAGTGTTCATGAAAGAGAATATTGATTATAAAACTGTAATTTACTTATATAGGAAAAGGAAAAATACTATGATAAAGGTTTTGTTTTGATTATTTTAATATTTTTTTTAGTAAATATCAATAATTAGTACTTTAATTATTTTCTGATGTTTTTCAAATTAATTCTTTATAATGGAAATCATTTTGCATCCGTTTATATTGAAAACTATTTTATCCTATCAATTTTCATATTAAATCATTTTTTTTATATATTTTCATACTAAACATTTCTGATGACATTGTTATATTTTTTTTTATTATTATTATTTTATTATTATATTTTTCTTTTGCACAGAAAGTAAAAGATAATATTTTTGTAATTTGAAAATGTTCATATCTTAAGTATAAAATCTATTCTATTGGATGTAATGCTTTTTAATGTGTTTACTTAAAGAGGAATATAACAGACCACGAGTGTATTATTTTCAAATTATCATTTCTGCTTTTAGAAATCTGTTATTATTGAAAAATCAGTGGTTTTCATTTCTTATATTATTGATATATAGATTTTTAATTTCTCTTCATACTTAAATTGGAAATCATGATATCTAAATGCGAATAGCTTTTTTCTTGAATATATTCTGGATGGATAGTGTGTCTCTCTTCACTCACTCTATATGCAAAGTAAGCAGAACAAGTTTTGCAATCACCTTCTTGTCAGAACAGCTGGTTGGAAATATTGATTTTGTCCTTATACACCTGATCATAGTTGAATTGAAACTGTTGACTTTTCTATATTTGTCTATTATTTGTAAATAGGAGCCATTATCATTCATACAGCTTCTCAAATTTGCCATTTATCTAACCTGGTTTAGTTTTCATTTCTCTCTGGTAAATTATTTTCTCAATGTAGTAGAAAAGTAGTCTGGGATTCATCTGTAAATGTTTAAACTCAAGTAGAGTTTAAACATTTACAGATGAATCCCAGACTTTTTCTTTCTAAAGTAAATGATTATTTTCAGGTGTGACCATGTACTCTCTTTATTGGTTATTTTTTAAAATTAAAATCTTGTCCCTTTCTTCATTTTATCTGTAAAAATTAGTAAATCTCTGCTATATTTTTGACTTAGAAAGACCATCTTAATGAACTTTAATCTTTTCAAGTTATGGTCTATTCACTCAGTTATTAAGGATACAAACTTTTATTTTTGATCAGACTAATATCTTTTACTCTTCAGTGTATTATTAAAGGCTGCAAAAAATTAAGCAATGGAGCTTTGATCAGTAACTGAAATGATCTTTCTTTTTCTGTACTTTTTTTGTACTTAGAGGGACAAGTATTGGATTGTTGTTTTTTTTTTTTTTTTTTTTTTTTTTTTTTAAAGCGTTTCACCCCAAGCAAGGCGAGAAGCCACTAGGACGCAAGGGGTTACAGAAAATTTGGAGCAAGATCAGATAGGAGTGATAGAAGAAAGGATGAGGAGAAGGGTAGTGGATAGATCATGGCAACTGGAGATGTCGATTGACATTACATTTGAATAGCTGGAGATTATAGCTCTCAGGGAAACTGGAATAGGGAAGGGAGTTCCACAGGTGAGAGGTGCGAGACATGAAGCTATTGGAGTAGAAGAGACGGCTACATTTAGGAGTTTCGACAGTGAAGGGGTGAGAGCGGGATACCAGCCTCGTGAGGGGGTTTTGAACTCACGAAGTATGGGAACCAGCGAATGCAGCTCCTCGGAGCAAATGCCATGAAAGTATTTGTAAAACAGACAGAGAGAGGCAATGACACATCTGTGAGAAAGTGACTGTAGACGAGATGCCAGAGCAGGGCCAATTATATTGCATATCCACCTCTGGAGCCTATCAAGAACCACAAGGAAAAAGATTCTTGTATTTGACACCTGTCAAATTTTGATTAGGAGAAAATGAGCAACATTTTTCACAAATTAGGCTTCTTTTTAACTCGACAAAAAATGACTCAGTCACACCAAAAAAGATTGGTTGGCTAGACCATTTGATGTCAATGGAAATCAAATCAAGATATGACTTAAAAATTATCAATATCAAGTAAAAAGGGAGATAACCAAGTCACACTGAGGGGAGATAACGAAGTCATTCACAAGTGAGATAACCAAGATACCAACTTAGTTATGCTAGACTTTTTAATGTCTGACTTCCACATAGGGTAAGTAAAAAAAACTGGAATAAGTTCTTTTAAATTGCATATTGTAAGAATTGGTGAAATGGAATGTATGAGTTTCTAGAGTAATTAAAATGTACTGCAACTAACTGTACTAAAAGCCTGTCTTCACTCAAACTAGATGAAGTGACTCTTCAACTATGAGCTTCTTTCAGCAATGCAAATGGTTTAGACAATTCAACCAGCTGAAGGAAGCGGTGGATGGAAAGGATCCAGAATTAGTTTAGAGAAAGGTATATAATGTTAGATTGTTTATTTTTTTAGGGACCAGGTTGCAGTTTGGCTGGAGACTAATCTGTCATAATCATCTGACATTGCACTTTTGGATTACCATTTATTTATTTTTTTTTTTTTTTTTTTTTAGAGAATTCTCTCAATGAAGAAAAAAACAAAAAAAATCCTCAGGAAGACTATAAAAAGCACCAAGAACAGTTTTTTGTCAAGAAAAGTAAAGGGTTTTGAGGGTGTGGAATTGTGTAGTTGGGCAAGATAATCAAAATATGTTGTTCAATAAAGTTAATGTGGTCAACATTAGAGAACATTAATTAACACTTTTGCTGTTTGACTTTTTAAGTGCCAAACGATCTTAACACTACCTCTCCCCTTGTAATTTACACCTTGTTTTTATTTGTCTTCCACATACTGTTGTTAATCATACCTGCTTTTCAGTGATGCTTTTTACTTACTTGGGAATCTCATACATTGCTCCTTTCTTGACCAGCTACATAAAAAAATATTAGTACTGAAGATGTTAATTTTGAAAAAGAAATAGTATTTTTATTTTTACTAAAACATAACAAACCTAGTCAGTCATTAATTTCTTGGATCACTATGATCACAAGTGTATCATTACTACGACTACTAAATTTTAATTATAACAACTGAAACTGTCATTTTATTAGTAAACAGTATGGATGAGTGGATAAAGAAGACATTGTCAGCAAGATTCAAACTCATTTGTTTTGCCTTGCGTGGTAATAAAATAAGCACATCCCATCTCCTTGTTTGCTTATAACTATCTAGTTCCAAGTGAGAGTTTTCAGGCATTTTTTCTTAAAAACATTAAGACTGAAAAACAATTGTTCAATTTGAAAATGCATTTTTTAATGCAAAATGATACCTTGTTGCTTGGACACTCTTTGCATTTCACTCTTAAGACATACTGGAAGGTGGCATTCATACAGAATCCACCAATGTTTCAAGCTTGTTTTCTGTTAAGTTATTTTTGACTTTAGTTGTTATAGATTTGTTTCCCTGATTTGACCAATGCAAGAGAGAAGTCTGAAGTTCTGCTAAATAAATGTGATAGTTGTTATAAAAGAAAAAAATTAATTTTAAACTTGAAGAACGTCTTGTCTTTTTGGAAGTCATTGGAAATGATCAATCCTACAATCTGTGCATCTCACCATGAGATGCAAACCTTATTCCCAAAGCTGGACACATTTTTAAGAGTTTATAAATGAAAAAACTTATGTACTGAAGAATGTTTTTTTTCTCTTTCAGGACTTTGGTGACATCATCCCTGGCCACGGGGGAATCATGGATCGTTTTGACTGCCAATATCTGATGGCCACTTTTATCCATGTCTATTACACCAGTTTCATTCGGTAATTAATAGATATATTTATTTCTCTGAGTCCCTTTTCTGTAATGTAAATCCAGATTATATCTGTATGTATATCATGGCTTTTTAAAACCCTTGTTTTTGTCATATAGGAAAATCCAACATGGCAAGTAAACAAAATATTCAGTGAAAAATCCCATTTGTCAGTAACATTTTAAACACCTCATAGAATGTAAAGTTCTTAAGGCAAACCTGTGCCAAACTGTTTTCTTGAATCCTTGATGACTTGGCTGTCTAAAAATGATAACATCAAGATGAAATAATGGAAACTGACTATGAAAAATACGATTATGCGCAACAGGTTTTCAATCAATCAGTCAACTTCTGGAGGTTTTCAGACCACATTATAGGATCCAGACAGTTATTGTTTGCACAGGGAATTATTCACTGGTAATTAATCTTCGATTTGGCTGTGAAAAATGTCACTCACGCATTAAGATATTATGCACAATTTTCTGAGAAAAATCACCTTTTTTTTTTATGAAAAAATATTTATTTTCACTTCAAAATAATATCATTCAAACTTCATCCCTTTCTCCTGATGTTGGAGTGAACATCATTGAACAAAAAGAATGGCTAAATGGCCAGGCAATGGGAAATACTAAAGACATGTGGCAAAAAAAAAACAATGTTGACTGCTAAGTGTTGTTGTCATGAGGTGTTAAAAACAAAAACACATCAAGCCATTGTTCAAACATAGATTTGAAAATAAATAAATAAATAAGTAAAACTTATATCAAGCCCTACCAAAGCCCTTTTTTTTCACTCTTTGCTCTTATCTGGGAGTGGTGGGTTTTATTACAAGCTGACAATGACAGCTTGTTCTAAACGTTTATTGCTGGCTGACCTTTGACTCAGACATGTCAAAGTCAATTTGCCTTAATTTTCTTTATTACTGCTATTTTTTGGTGTCAATTTTTTTGACCCCTGGCAGTCATATAATTGATAATTACCAATGGACTTTGTTGCATTTTGACCCCCTAGGAATGTTGATTTCCTTCAAAACTCTCAATTTTATGCCTGAAATATTTTGTTTATGATTTAGGCTTTCTAATTTTTCAAAAAAAATGGTTAATTACCTATTAATGGGGAAATTTTTTGTTTAGAACTAGAAAAAATGCAAAATTTTTTCACATTTTCAAATTTTTTGAGTCATTTACACCAGCCAATATTACTGTTAAATGAAAGAATATATCCTTTGCTTTCAGAAAATACCTAGTTTCATGGGGTTCAGATCAAAAGTTTCCTTGATATTTGTTTAGGTGATGATAAAACAGTCATTTTTCAATATTTTACACCTATAAAAGTATGAAAATTCATTTTTTTTTTTCAGAGAAAATAAGCTGTGACAAAATGACTTTTGCCATTTTTGTGATGATTTTTACTTAGGATAGAAAATTTTTACCATAGCAAACCTGAATTGACTTTATTTAAGTTTAGTATGGCTATAGGAAACCTCAAATAGCTGTGATGGTAACAAACATTCATTAAAGGCGAAAAAGTTAAAGTTCAGCATTGAAGCATTTAAAACAAGTAATGTTGCCATATAATTTGTTGTTTGGTGAGAAATATTTTTGTGAAAGGAAATTTGATATTTTAATAATGATGAATGTATGTGAAAAATATTCTTTATTTTTACAAGTTTTGTATATTAATTAACTCATTCATCCCAATATTTTATCCATTTCATAGATCTTTAATCAATTTATATATTTTTTAAAATTATTTCTACCTGACTTGGGAAAAACTTATAAACCTTGAATGATATTGTTTAAAAATTTACTTATAAAACTTATAATCCCTATGTGGCTGATTGCTAGTTAATAATTATGATTAGTTACTTAATCAGATTAATTTTTAATGAGAGTTTGATTCTTTTTTGCATCTTAGGCTTAAGCCAGTGAAGAATAGTGTGAAGCATGATGTGTGTGTTTCAACTTTAAGCTTTAGCTTTTAATTTGGTTTCAAATTGTTGTTTACTATTCTCTCAGATAATTGGAAATACAGTGGGGAGGATATATACTCCTTATAGCCTACAACTTCTTAAAAAGAAGGAAGGAAAGATCACTTTTTTCTTTTTTTTTTCAGTGTTTTCTTGGTTTTAAATATAATGTTTATTCCATATCATTATCCATGATACTGAAGAGTACAAAAGAACTTGTCAAACTTTAGTTGTTTTCTTCTTTTGTGAGCAAAGAATGAAGAAGAGAAAGAGAGAGATTCATATCAGCAATAAAGAAGAATTTCTTTATTTGTATGAATCTCTCTTTCTCTTCTTCACTCATGCTCATATACACATGTAATTTATATATAAATGTGTATTTACATTTGTTACAGTTTTAATAGTATGAATATTTTAAATTTAAATCCTTTAAATAATCTTTTTTGTAACATAAAACAATCTGACTTTATATATTTATCAATCACACAATCTTTTATTTTTAACGATTTCACCCTAAGTAAGGCAGGAATGCCACTACTAGGCAGGGAGTTACAGTGAGTGAAAGTGAAAGAAAAGACTGAGAATAGGGAGGATTGAAGAAAGGACAAAAGATGAATGGGATTCAAGGAGGCAGAAGATGGTGATTGACATTGCATTTAAATTTTTGATGATTGTAGTTATCAGGGAAGCAAGTAAACAGAAGGGAATTCCACAGGCAGGAAGTGCAAGAACAGAAACTGTTGGAGTAGAAGTGGCAGTTGCATTTAGCTATTTTAAAAGTAAATAAGTGGGACCTAGATGCCAATCTAGTAGCAGGCTTAAATACATGCAATTTGGGCACCAGGGAAAAAGCTCATCAGAAAATATTTGTAGAAAAGACAGAGGGAAACCATGTCATGTTGATGAAAAAGTGACTGAAGTTGAGATGCCTGGTCAAGACTGATTACATTACAGATCCTTCTTTGGATTTTGTCCTTGAGATGTAACAGAACAGATATGGCATCAATATTCAATGCATGGCCGAATGGCAGATTTGTAAATGTGCAAGATGGATTCTAGCAAGAAAAGTTTTCTGGCACAACACAGTGACCCAACTTTCCTTGCAGTAGATACAGCTATTTATTCAATGTAGTCGCTCCACTTCAGTGGAAAATGAGAGGCCAAGAAGGTGCTCTGTGTTGCTCTCTAGTGTCAGCCATGTTGATGGCAGGCAAAAAAGGTTCTCTATGGTGGTTAAATTAAAGCAGTTTTGTGTAGGAGGCATTAAAAATTACAATCCATTTCCTACTCTAGTTAACCACTGATTGGAGTTCCTTTTCAAGGGCTGTTGCCAGGTTTACTTTCTGAGACTTGACGGATTTGCTATTGAGACAGGAGTAAATGGTTGTGTCATCTGCATAAATACCTATTTGGGAACTGATGATATCAGGAAGATCATTGATGAAGATCAGAAACAGTATAGGGGCCTAGGATAGAGGCTTAGGGGACATCCGTGTTCATGTGAAAGGATCTGGAAGCAAGCCCATTCAAAATGCCCTTCATTTCAGGATTTGATAGGAACAATTGGATTAAATCAAACATTCACCTTGTGACATCATAACATTGGAGCTGTTCTCTTTTTCTTAAAAATGATATGCTAACAGGAAGCATTAATAAGTATGAGAGATAGATTGCTAATATATTGTTTTGTATTATCTTGATTTAAATATTTTTCTATTTTTAACCATTTAAAAGCAGTCTTGAAAAAACAAAATGCTCTTTTAGGAGTTGAGTGATTATAGCTCTTCACAGATTCCTTTTCTTTATTTTTTTCAAATTGCTGTGTATTCTTGGCAAATGTATTTTCTGCTTCATTAATCCTGGAATCATTTAACTATTTTCATATGCAAGAAAAAAAACTGCTTTTAAATTATTAAAAATAGAAAAATATTCAAAAAAGATAACACAAAACAATATATTGGCAACCTGTTGTCTTCTTCATCGTTTTGTATTCAGAAATTTCATTCTCTCATATGAGTTAGAAAACAGTCTATGTTGATATCTAACCATACAAGTAAAGTTATAAATTTTAAGCAGAAATATAAAAGACTAAATGTTTTTCAATCTTGAATGTCAACTAATGCCAAAACAAGTTTAGTGTTTCTTGAGATGTTATTGAATTAATTTTTTGTGTCTCAAATGAAGAAGTTTAAAAACTACAACAAATCAAATATAACACTTTCTGTTGTTTATTTTGGACACCATTCCATTTATTTGGGTCAGTTTGAACAAGCCAAAATGATCTTTTTGTTAGTCACTGTTGAATTGCTTATCTAAGTAATTTCAAAGATGCTGTGTGTGTGTGTGTGTGTGTGTGTGTGTTCTGGATTACTGAGAGCTTCAATAGGCTACAGTGCCAATCAACTGGTTAGGGTTTCCAGGGAGAAATTAAAAAAGATTTTGTAGAAATTTATTAGATTTTCACATAATATTATTTATATATATATATTTGTGTGGGGGGCTGTTATACCTGAAAATTTTATCAAGGTTCAAGCAAATATTTGTTTTGTTTTTTAGTAGGGATTTTTCAAGTTTATCAGATATTTTTATCTCTTCTTGGGTTTTTTGTGTGTAAATTATTAAGTTTTCAACTTGAGTTCATATTTTATAAAAATCAAATGTAGTCAGAGAATTATAAAAAAATTTTTTTGGATTGACATAATATTTTTTTTTGTTGTTGTCTTTTCAGGCTACACAATCCACAGAAGATTCTTCAGAATATCTTGATGCTCAAACCTGAAGACCAGCTGCATGTGTTCAATTTATTGCAACAGAGTTTGGTGGACAATAACTTTATAAATATCACTAGCAGCACTTTGTAGACAATGCACAATCTTGTGGTGATCCCATGTAGCTGTGCCATTAAGCTGGCTGATTAAGAGGGTATTGCCAATGTTACCATACAAGCAGACAACTATGAAATCAGAGAGCTTGTCTGTTAATACTAGGGACTAGTTGAAGAACAAAAAACACAAAACAGCAGCTAGTACTAACCCCCTGAGCACTGGGGCAAAAGCTCTCCTGCTATGTCCACTCCTGATGTTTTTTGTTGTCCTTCCAGGTGCTGTAGTCATGGTTTTAGAGGCAGTGAGTGATTCTTTGCTTTTTCTCTCACTCACACCTATTCAGCTAGCTAAGCGACCTGGCACCATTGTTTGTTGGTTGTGTCCCTGCACACACACACACACACACACATGCGCACAAACACACACACATATGCACACATCAGACAGGCTCTTGTCTTACATTTTCTCTCTCTTTCTCTTTGCTTCAGTACTATTGGCTATTGTACAATATTCTTGCAAAGTATGTGACCAGCACAAGTGATCTGAACAAGGCCAGTTAAATTATTGCCAAACATACACCCAGGCCCTTCCTCAGTTAACAAACAAAATGCAATTGGATGATTCTGTGATATAATGCCTCAAATTGAATGAAAGACTTTCAAACAAAAGTTACCAAGATAAAATATTTTGCTGAAATAGTTTATCGTTTGTCAGTCCTACAAAAAACCATTTGTGTTCATTTTTAGGAATTATCAATTGGATTGAGTATTAAAAAAAATAAAACTTATCCTGAAAGATACAAAATAGTGTTGTTACACAAAGCAGTAATGTTTACATTGAATTAATTAAAATAAACAGTTTTATATAGACTATCCATATAATTTAATATTGCTCATGTAAAATTTCATTGGGGTTTTTGGTAAAGTTGTTTTGAAATTTTCCAGCAGCTCTAAAAAAAAAAAAATGTAAGTTAATATTTGTTTTTTCTCTAAGAATATTACATAGAACTTCAAGAAATGTTGTGCACAAGTGATATAATGCTTAAATAACAAAAAAAAAATCATTAAAACTGAAAAGAATTGTATTCACAAATTGGATGTCAGATGTAAATTGGATTTGTTTTGCATTGTTTTCAATGACTTACAAGAAATAAAACATAGTTTTCATGTAAAAATATTTTAAATATAATATTTAAATGTTTTGAATAATACATTTCAAAATATGAAAGAGAAAGTTTAACTGTTTTAAGTCTTAATTTATGCACACACACACACACACACACAAGAATAAGGAAGAAAGAGAGAGAAAGTGCAGTAATGTTATCTAAAATCATTTCAAGTTAGTATTTTTAAAATTTTTAAACATTAGTTGACTTAGTTTCTTTATCTTTTTTTGTTAGCCACATTGGTAAAATTTTTAAAAAGTTGTGTTTTGAGCCAGCATTAACAAAACTTTGAGGAAAATTGAAAACATTTCTTGTTTCATTTTATATTTAATAGTAATTATGTTGAACATTAAACAAGTAAAGAATAAATTGATTTGGGATTAAATAAGTCAACTAGTAGATATTGCTGTAAGACATTTGTGACTATTGAAGAAATGTATTCAGTTATAATGGTTTGGGAGAATAAATCCATTTTATTGATTTATATTTCATTATTTAATTCTTTTTTTTTTTTTTTGTACTATGTCATGTATAATGTCACAACTGTAAGTGATCCTCTTTACAAAAATTAATTAAAATATCTTATTTCTTAAACATTTTATTTTTTAATAAATGCTAATTGATTTTAAATATTAAACAAGTTGTTTCTATAGATTTATTAATTTTTATCTGAATTTAGTAAACATTTAAACCTTGAAAAATAAAATTCTATTCTAGGCCAAAATAGCATAAATTATTGAAGCAGTTTTTGTATTTCTAGTAATAATAATAATAATAATACAATGTAAATGTATAGTTTATATAATGATACATGATAAATAAGTATTATAACAATATAATTTTGATAAAAAGCCAAACTGTTAGATCATTATGAAAATCATTTGAATAGAAATATAACTGCTGTAAAGTATAAATAATAATGTGTCCTAAATTATTAATAAATCAAGTTGAATCACTGTGATTTTGTATCACTTCAATAATGAACACAAGTATAATACATAGATATAAATACATATAATATAATAGATATAATACATAGATATAAAATCATATGAATAAAATCAGTAATATAATTATTGATTTAATTAATGTTACTATAACTTTTCTCACCAAAGAGAATTTTTATATTTGTTATTGCATTCGGACAAAATGAATTGAAAAATAAGGGTGGGTGCTTGAACATTTCAAATGGAAATTATTTTATTGGTGAATAAATTTTTTAAAAATACTTGGGTGGGAATTTTAATATGTGAAAAAAAAATTTTGTATATAAATTTCCAAAATGAATTTTCTCTTAAGCTTTTCTCTATATTTCCATCTTGATTGTTATTTAGACTGTTTGATTTTGAGATTATAACAAATTGAAAGTCTGTATTTGACTCAAGAATTTTAAAATTAAAATTTAAGCCCTTCCAAGTGAGAAGATAAAGTTGAAATTACATTTTGTATTTTTTTCCCACTTTATTACTTGAAAATTAACAAAAATAGAAATCAAATATTTAAAAATGTCATATAGTATAGATTTAAATTAAACAAAAACATGCATTAAAATAATCTCTTGATAGGTGTAAGAAGATAAATTTATCCTTTTGAAAAGATCTAAATATTGATTTCACTTTTAAGTGAAACAATCTTTTGAACAAATAACATCTATGAATTGTCTAAATATTATTAGGGAGCTATAGTCTTTCATAAAAGTTATAAAAAACATAATATTATAAGCTACAGTCTTTACTTTATAACAATTTTAGGGATACATATTTTTTTAAATTATTTTTTATTCTCAAATATTTTTAGAAATGGACAAAAATAAATTTTCTGTTGATTTCTGTAACTGGATTTGCTTCTATATATTTATTTCAACAACCTCTGTGTGTTTTGCTTAAGTGAATCTATTAATCAAAGAGAAAAACTTGTGCAAAAATCATCACTGATATTTGTTTATATATTAAAGGAAAAACTATTGAAAAAATAAAATGCTATCAGTTTGATTTAATTGAGGTTTTCTCACATAAATGTTTTAAATTTTCCTCATAAATTAAAATTTTATGATATTTTTTATTTTATCACTGAATTCAGATTGAAATTTTGTGTGTGTGTGTGAGCGTGATGGTTTGAAATGATTCCAATGTTGACATTCCATAATCTTTATTCTGGCTGCTTGTTTGATGACAAGCATGTGAAGGGCACATGAAGCATTTGAGAACTTGATTTGGCCAGGAGATAGCAAACCACCTTCATGCTCTCTTTATTTTCAGCCATCGGTGTGCCACAGAATTGAATTTGCTCAAAAACAAATTTTCACTTATTTTGGTTCATTTTTAGTTTCTCTTATTTGTAAACATTATTTCAAGTTTTTGAAAAAGGTCTTATAAAGTTATATAAACCAGTTGCCTAAAAGAATTTCCTCAAGTATTTAAATATAAAAAGTAAAAAAACTCAATTGCATTAAAATATTGGTTATTATTCTCTTATAGTTGCATATATTTAATCAAACTAAAATTTTGAAATAAAACATCTTTTTTGTTTATTGAGAAAATCTGTTCTGGACATGTTTTCCATTTTCTTGTTTTACTTTCTGAATGTAGAATTTTCAGTTTTGTTTTTATACAACATAAAAATGATTCCTATTTAAGAAACAGTTTCATTTGTAATTTTACCTACAGTAAAAACAAAAATGACTAGGTAATTTTTTTCTTGGGTTTTTTTTTTTTGTCTCCTTCCTCTTGTATGAATTTGTAGCTGAAATCAGACAGTACTTTTTTTTTAACTGATATTTAATACAAAGAACTAAGCCCCCCCCCTCCTTCAGAACACTGATTAAAGGTTAATGGATTTTTAAGATTTTTTATTTTTTTTATTTTTGTTGCTGTTATTGAAGATTATAGAAAGAGTATGAAATGAAATACAGGTGTGGTTTTTCTGTTTGCTTTGTGATCCAACAAGCACATCTCATTTCAAACCCTGACAACTGTAGAGAAATGAATAACAATAAATAAGTAAATGTTATATTTCCAATTCCAGTGTCTTGTATGATCAAATAATAACCTGCTTTATTGAGCTATGGACCAAATAAACAATATTTTCTACTAAATAAACAATATACCAAAAAATCAATGGTGAATGAAAAGTCTTGCATCACAACAATTTCATGTAGAGGGCCAATGAAAAGTTTTGGACCATGAATTAATTTTGATATTTTTTAAAGGATAACTTCCAAATAACATAAGTGAAAAATAATGTCCTCTTTAAACGACTCAATATTCAGTTTTCCTTAAATTCATTTGTATTCCATCAGAATCTACTAACTTGTAAGTATTTATTCTAGCATTATAAGAAAATAGATCAATTTTACCCCCCCCCCCCCGAGTTATTAAAAAGAATGTAAAATATTTTTCCTTCTAATTAAACCAAATCCACCCCTCCTTCTGCCCATATCTTTTAAGAAAGAGCAAGAAGCTGGCATTAGATTGTATCACATACTTGTCTGTGTCCAAAGCACAACAGAAGAATTTCTTGCTATTTTCTTTTTTTTTTCTTACTTTTTCTCAGATTATTGTATGATGAGAGCAAAGGAAAAAAAAGACATTATTGTTCTTGCTTTATTCTTTGGTACCTTCTGAAGAAACTTTAAACTTTTAGAGCATTTAAATGTCCAATTTGTTTTGGACATGTTTACTACTTTTCTTTCTTATCTAGATTGTGAGAGATATGCAACTGAACTTTACTAACCAGCCATACTAAACATTGGCTAATGTGAGTCAAAGCAAATGAAAAAATATACACTTTGTGGCTTGTGTGATGCACACAGACATGAATACATTTAGTATTCAACTTGTCATTTTCTGAAGAAAATGACTATTTGTAGCTA